TGGGGAAGCCCTGCCCTCCGCCTGGAGGAGCTGGCACGGGCCTGGGGCTGGGGCTGGAGGGCAGCCGCCCTGGGCTCACCTGGTAAGCGCGACTCGTTCTGGAGAAACCCGCCCCCACCGTGGGGCTCCCCCAGCCCCTCTGAGGGGACTGAGCCTAAACGGAAGAGCTGGCCGTCATCCCAGCGGCCAGCGTGAGGCCACCGCCACCACCAATAATAACAGCATCGTCGTTGGCCTTGCCATGGCCAGAGCCGACAGCGCGGGCGCACCACGCTTGATTGAATCACATAATTAGGAGACACTTTAATGAATATTATTACATCTCAGGCAATTTTAAGAATGGCCTTTTACTTTCAATGGGCGGGCAGCATAAATACAATACAGTGATCGAGATTATTAATAAAGTCGTGAACGGTCTACCCGGGGTTCGCGCTGCGCGCAGCGGGCGCACCCGCGTCGCTCAGGCACGAGCGCACCAGAGCCCCCGCGCGCCGGGGCCTACCAGCCCCAGGTCCGGGGGACCCCACGCTCTGCCCCGCTTGGGCCTACTCGTCCCCATCAGCCCATCAGTCACTCCCCTCCCTTCTTCAAGGCCTAGAGAGAGCCTAGTCCTCCTCCGAGATGGGACCGAGATGGGCCGGAAAGGGGTCCCCGCCCCGAGGCCTAGTGCCAGGGCTGTGGTGTGCTTAGGGGGCGTCGGGACGGGGGCAGATCCGTCTCCCCGAGGCTGATTTCTGCGTCGCCCGGTGAGTCTGTGCCTTCGGAATTGCACCACGGCCCTTTGTCGTCAGTCGCTATTAACCTCCCACCGCGCGGCGGCTCCACCAGGCAGGTCGCAGTTTTCGGCGGAGCCGGGACCCTCCCGGGGGCGCTTGGGGAGCTGAGGCGGCGAGTAGAGCCCGCGGAAGTCGGATATGAAACCAGCGGGCGCCAGAACGACTTTCCGCAGAGCCCCAGGTCACCGCTGCCTCGCAGCCCGGCCTCCGCGCCCGCCGGCGCATTTGCATAGACAGCGTCTGCGCGTTCGCTGTGCGCTCAGTGCGCCCGGGCACACCTGTGCCGAGCAGCCCAGGAGCCCCCATCCATTTGCCCTTTTCACTCAAGGGAAACACAAAAAGCTGGAGCCCTCTCGGTGCTCAGGCGGGGTCACCCGCGTGGCTCCTTGCCGCCTCTCGGTAGGAGAAAGCGCAAGGAGGGTCCACGCCGGGCGGTGGTCAGGCCGTGTGGACCCTTGGATCCTGTCTCCAGCCCGGGGTCAGACCCTGCTCATCCGACCCCTGTTGGCAGCCGGATAAGGAAGGGCCCCTGGGCCCCAATGAGTCCTGCTAGGTCCTGTCGGTCTCGCACCGGGCAGGGCACGTCCTCCAGCAGGCGTGGAGGTGGCGGCAGGTCGTCCTGGGCCGGGGCTCCCAGGCGCTGTCCTCGTCTCTGCGGGGCTATGGCGGAGTGTGGACTCAGCTCCAGCCAGGCCTGGGGGCGGGAGTCGTTCAGCTTGAAGGAGCAGGGTCTTCCTTCATGACCAGCTTTCCTCTGTCGCACTCGGGACACCGCCCCCTGCGGGACGCCGGTCTGGACCTTCGTATCTGCAGTCCGGGTCCCGATCCGAGGCGCGCAGAGCCGCGGGGGCCCCGGCGGGACCGCGCGGGCCGTCAGGGCTTCAGAAAGGAGCCTCGCCTTCCCACAGGCCCCACTCTGGTCTCCGCTCGGCCCCGGTGCGAGGGGACAGGCTGCAGCGGCGGTGGCCCCGCATGAGCTGGGAGTTTAGATTCTGTGCTGTTGAATTTAAAAACGTAATAAACATGGGAGAAAAAAGTAAATCTCAGTGCTTCGAGGTTCTGAGGGCTTGTCCAGAGGCAAAAAAGAGAAAACAAACCTCCCCTGCCGCTGTAAGCCAGTGGCTGCTGGCACGCCTCTGGGGACGGGGAACTCGTTCCCTAACAAAAACACACCTTGCCCCTTACTAGTGTCATGATTTAAAAATGCAGTTAAAAAAAAAAAAAAGATTGATGTTGCTGTATGAGTATTATCTTTTCAGATTAAAATCGAAAGAGGTCAACAGAGTAACAGAGGTTGTGCTAGGATTGTTTCGCTTGGATTCTGCAGCCCCTCGGAACTGCAGTAGTTGGGGGTCTCGGGAGGCGCGTGGGTCCGCCCCATCCACGATGACCGTGGGGCGCTCCCGGGGCCGGGCGCGCGAGGAGTCTGGAGCCTCCGCGGCGACGTCCCGCTCTCTCGGTCGCTCGGCGTGTCTTTGCAAAGCCCTAGAGCAGCCCTGCTCCAGCCCGCGGGCCGTCGCCCCCAGGCCGCTGCCCCGCGCCACCGAGGCCCAGCCCGGAGGCCCAGCGTCCGCCTGGAAGCCCGACGGCCTATCCAGGCCGGCGTCGAGCAGGAAGAGCCTGAAAGGCCGCCTTTGGCAACAGATGGTCCTCGCTAGTCTCTGAGTTTCTTTCATTGAGAAAACTTTTTTACCCCCCAACCCCCAAGCCAAGAAAGTTGGGGAATGCAGCAGGTGGCCGCGTGCGCCCTCGATCACGCGCTCAAAGTCCCCAAACAGTGCCCTGCTGAGGCCTCGGGTCAGCAAGGGCAGCGCCGGTCCCTTTCCCCAATCCTGCGTGAGATGCTGTCTGACGCCTTCTACTCCTAGGGTTAAAACAAACGAAAGGTAAACAGAAACGCCTCTTAAAAGGAGAGAGTCTCCTTGCGTCGCTTCCAATAAAAGTCCCCTCCCCAGGGTGCAACAGCGCGCATGAGCAGAACCAGTGAGCAGCCGGGGGGGAGGGGAGGGAGACCTGTCGAACTTTGCAGGATTTTAAAAATTTAGTCAATGGAATAGCAACATATTTTTTTAAACACTTCCTCCTGGTAAAGAAATGTGGACTAAATTATTTCGATTGTTCTGGGCTCACATGCAAGATATTCAAAGTGTAGTTATTAAAACAAAAAACAAGAAACAAAACAAAACAAAAAACTGGTAATCCGCCTCTTCCTACAAAGGCAGGCAACTACACCTGCCCTGACACGTGGCAAAGGCCAGGAGCACCTGAGCCTTGGGGAGAAGCCCGGGGAGTTCGGCTCGACTCAGAAACACGCTTAGAAAAACTAGCCATTTCTCCTTGGACCTCCAATATTTCATAATAAAGAGATTTTTTTTTTATTATTTAATGTAACTTTCAAGAATTTAAACACACAAAAATGCAGGAGGGGAATGTTCACAAGTTTGATTACCACAGTTGTAAATAGAAACATTCATTTCTTATAAGGTTATAAATATTTCATACTGGAACTGTAAAATGCACATGATTTATAAACTAAAAAAAAAAAAAAAAAGAAAGAAACCAAACAAAAAATAGAAACCAACTTTGCTTCCTGCTAAAAAGGCATGTCATTTCATTGAGTTTCCTAAGCAGCAGATGGTTATTCACAGAATTTTAAATTACAACTTTTGTTTTTATAGTTTCCTTTTTAAAAAGGTTTACACTATTATGTACAAAGTGAAACTATTATCGCAGTGAAATAAAGAAGTTTAAGGCAAAGAGAGAAGTTCATGCTCAGTCCTCAGGGAGACGGCTGTGACTCCCAGCGATGGGCACACCCCTTGGGCTGTCCCGGCCATGGATGGACATTTGGACACAAGTCTTTCCTCGTACACTAAACAGAAGACAGTGTGGAGTTATATATAGAGATAATGTGTTTGTTTATATATATATGTACTTGGTGGGGAATATATTGAATATATTTAATTTACACTGTACCACAACTTCAAAAAAATAAAATGTATACTAAAAAAAAGACAAAAAGTGATAAGAAATGATTATTTACATATTTTCTTCTTTCCTCTAGATCCCGGAGGATTCTGAGTTCCTTTGAAAGTCAAAGTAGCCACATGTTCCAGAACCGTGGACTCATACACGCCTGCTCCTGTGTGCATGTGTGTATACATGCATGTGTACATATTACATATATATGCACACGCATACATGTATTTACCTTGGAATAACGTTCTTGATAGCAGAAGCAGCCACTCCAAAAAAAGAAAAGGAAAAAGAGAGAAGAAAAAGAAAAAGGAAAGGAAGATGGTGACAGCTCTCTCTGCTTGCCCAGAGATCGCAGACCTTGGTCCCTGCTCTGGGGCCCAGCCTGGCACCTAGGGTGGCTGATGGAGCGTGGGGAGAAAGGTTACCCCCATTGGGGCCATAAGCCCTGGCTCCTGGGCCCTGGAGCCCCAAAGTGCCGCCCCATGTAGAGGCTGTGCCCAGGGGAGAAGGGTTGGTGCTAGCAGATCGCGGTGGGGCTGTGGCAGGTGGGAAAGGGGACAGTGACACAGATGCTGACAGAAGTCCACACAGAGGTGCAGGCAGGGTGTCAGAGAGGAGGACGAGGGAGAGACACGGCAGGAGGGGCGCGAGGAAAGGGAACGGGGAGAGGCTGCGGGCCAGTCGGGGGCTGACATCCCAGAGCAGGCCCTGGCGTCCCCTCTCCCCACCAGGTCCCCAGCCCAAGCTCAGGGTTGTGGCCCCTCCTGCTGTCCTCACCAAGCCAACACAAACAAAGTGGCAGAACTCACAGACCAAATAGGAGCTATTTATTCAGTTCACAGTTGTGTGAAATGCAGCAATAAAAATCTTTGGACTTCAGCAAGTTGTTTTTAATTTTTTTCTTCTTCTGAAATAATAATAAAAAAAGGTACAATGTAATAGAGCTTGGAGGATTAAAAAACATGAAACCCTAAACAGTCCCCTTTGCCAAAAAAAAAAAAATCATAAAATTAGCATAATCTTATAAACACAAAAAACTCAAAAAATATTTTATAGTCAGATATTTTGGATTTTACACCACCTGTAAATTATATATACATAGAATATTGCAGAACGATAGCTGATACACGATATTTCCACTATTAATGCTGGTATAATCTTTGTACACTGGCCCTTTGTTTATGATTTTAAATTATTGCATTGTTTAGCGGGGACTGAGGCCCGGACCCGGCGCCCCCGCTGCCCCTACTCGCTGTCCGACTTGCCCTCCTTGGCGGTGGTGGAGTGGTTGTACAGGCCCTGCGCCATGAGGTGCACGGCCAGCGTGTTCTTGTTGCCCGTGGCCTTCTTGATCTTGGCACGCTTGTTCTGGAACCAGATCTTGATCTGTGACTCGTTGAGGCTGAGCTCCTGCGCCAGGCTCTGGCGCCGCTGCTCCGTCAGGTACCTGTTGGTCTGGAACTCGGCCTTGAGCCTCTGCAGCTGCTCGGCGGTGAAGGCCGTGCGCGGCCGCTTGTCCTCTCTGTTTGGGTTCTTCTTCTTTGGTTTGCGAGACCGGGGACCTGGGTGACATGGGGGACAAAGAGAATGCAGGTTACCGACGGCTGGGAGGCCTGACTCCTTACCAGAGGTGAGTCACCAAACAGGTACCACGGGCAAGGACACGGAGACCCGAGAGCAGAAGTGACAGGCCCAAGGCCACTCCAGGCTGCACTGGCCGGAAGTTGGGCTGGACTTGGAACTGGGCATGGGCTTTCATCAGCCCAGCACCCTGAGAGAGGGAAATCTGGGTGTGGGGTGTGGACGTTGTAAAGGGCAGGCTCAGTGGGAAGGTCGATGGCAAACATACGGTCTCTAGGTGAAAGCAAAACTCTGGGAAGAAACCAAGACCCCCAAACTTTCTGGTGTGTTTTCCCAGCACTCTCTGAGGCTCTGTCCAGGAATGAGGAGGAGGAAAGGAGAAAAGTGCTGAGAGAGAGGAGATGGGGGAGACTGGGGAGGGGGGCAGGCCAGTCAGAGAGACAGGGGAGCCCTGGGGGCTGCGATGGGGACAGGGGGCCCTGACAACAGGAGGGGCCCACAGCTGCTGCCGCCACCCCTGCCCCCTTTCCGACTCCAACCAACGGCCCTATGGGCCCAAGTTCATTGTTCCTTTGAGGATGGATGAGCAGTACCGAGCCACGGCTGGTCTCTTCGCCCACTGGAAGCCTCCCCAGACCCCTGTCCCTTCCTGGGGACAGACGATGGCCGCGTGTCCTCCCCTCCCCCAGACCCTGGGCTGCCTCACAGAGGCTGCAGGGCAGGCCTAGCTGATGCTGGGCAGATCCACACTTCTGACCGGAGGGGCCTCCTCCCAGGAAGTGCCCCGTGGCTTGGACAGGGTAGTGTCAAATTCCTGAGACCCGCCATCCACGGAAAAGGGCAGGGGGGGGGGGGTGGGGGGGGGAGGGAAACGGGTGTTCCTTTGAGGATGGATGAGCAGTACCGAGCCACGGCTGGTCTCTTCGCCCACTGGAAGCCTCCCCAGACCCCTGTCCCTTCCTGGGGACAGACGATGGCCGCGTGTCCTCCCCTCCCCCAGACCCTGGGCTGCCTCACAGAGGCTGCAGGGCAGGCCTAGCTGATGCTGGGCAGATCCACACTTCTGACCGGAGGGGCCTCCTCCCAGGAAGTGCCCCGTGGCTTGGACAGGGTAGTGTCAAATTCCTGAGACCCGCCATCCACGGAAAAGGGCAGGGGGGGGGGGTTGGGGGGGAGAGGTAAACGGTTTCTTTTTGTTGGTGTCAAGAAGCTCAACCCCAGGAGGAGCTTCTGTGAGGGAAGAGGTAGGCAAGGCCACTGGCCCGGGAGTGACATGCCATCGGGGTTGCTCCATCTGTGGGGTGCATGAGCCAACTTTGGGGAGCGCCCCGCCCAGCTCCAAAGAAAAGGCTGGAGAAGGATGGGCCCCCCTCCCCCTCTTCAGGGTCAGGGAACAGCCCGCGGAGGGACCTCCCTCGTTTGGAGGCCCGGGGCTGCACCCACCCGAGCCAGGAGGGTGCACAAGGGCACTGAGGCCGTGCCCAGCGAGGAGTCGGGGACGCACCAGAGGCCCAGGGTGGGCCCAGAGATCTCCCCTCTCGCCGACCCAGCCGGGCACCCGCTCTGGGAAGCAAACCCGTAAAGAGAGGTGTCGCCCAGGCCAGATGGCTCAACCCCCCGGCCTTTTACTTCTCCAGCACACGCGCACTCACACCGCCACCCCCGTGCGCGCGCTAAGTCACCGTCGCGCTCAGGGGGACAGCGCGGGCTCCGCGCCGGCGGGTCTGGCTGTGCTGGGCGTTGTGGATCCAAAGCGGCGGGCCGGCTCCAGGGGGGCCAGCGGAGGGGAAAGGACATGGGGCAGAGAGCGCGGGAGAGGCCGGGAGAGGCCCGGGGCGGCCTGCACCTGCCGGGACACGACCGGAGCCTCGTGCTCCAGAGCCCGGCCTCCGTCTCCACCCCTCCTGCTCCCGGGGCGTGTTAATGCACGCACCGACCAGCCCTCCAAAAGACCATATTTTTACGGAAAGAAAATCTTCCTAAAATTACAATTTTTAGTTCCTTTTCTTTCTTAATTTTCCTTCAAACGGCAAACACTTAAGGAGTCTTGGAAACAGAACAAAACCTCAAGAAAACTCCCATCGTTTCTTCTTTCTTAAACACCGAAAAACATAAATGTTATCTTATGGGGGTTTTTTAAAGCCCAGAAAGACCAGCGACGCGGGTCGGGCCGGGTAGGGCCACCGGTCTCCGGAGGCTGCTGGAGTCTGGCGCGGCCCGCCTCGGGCGCCACACAGCGCCAGGCCAGGGCTCCTCGAGACCGGCATTGTGCGCCTATATGTTAATTAAATATTAACAAAGGAGGTAGGCGAGAACAATAGAGCAAATTTCAGATCTAGCTTGGAGAAATTCGGATTTCATCAGAAACACACACACACATTTCGGCAAGAAGATGTCCGAGGGGTGACAGTCGTGCTGTAATCTGGGTAAAAGATCCCACAAAACAGTTGAGGGTTGGGGGCACAGGAGTCCTTTACCAGCTCGGGGACAAATGGAGCCCACTCCTAATGGCGGTTCCCAGTCGCAGACCCGCACCTAATGTGGCTGATGTGTCATCCCTACGACGACAGGGACTTCGCTTCTTAAAATCCCAGATATATGAAAAAATATGCCCACGCCTCTGCACGCGCCTCGAAAGCTGCTTCTTTCCTACCACCAGCAGATCCGAGGAAGTCCTGGGAGAGGGTCCTTTCTACTTGGGGGATTGCAGGTGCCCAGGTCGGACAGTTGCTTCCCTCTCCCAAGCTATGGGTGCAGGAAGGTGCTGAGCTCCTCTGCGCGCCCTCGGCAAACAAAGTCAAGCAAAGGAGAAAGGGCGCCTCTGTTTTCCACCCTTCCCTGTGAGCCCCCCACAGCCCCATTGTCAGCCCAGGCCAAAGAGACTGAAGAAGAGCAGGGAGCCCGGACCCTCCTTTCCCGATTACATCTGGGATAACTGGATCACAGGGCGGTGGGCTGGGGCGTGGGTCCCGGATCTGGTCTGAGTTGGAACATCCCGGGGAACCGGTTGAAAGTGCACGTTTCCGGGCTTGTCTCCCAGCCACCTGCTTTCCCACCAAATAAACTCCAAACCTCCAGGAGAAGGGTGGGCGAGAGGCAGCGAGGAGATGCCCAAAAACGCCAGAGAGAGAGAAAGAGAGAGCGCGCCCTGTAGCTGCCGCTGTCCTAAGAAGCCCGTACTCTGCTCGAATCAGTCCTGCCCCTCACCTCCCGGCCACTGTCCGGCCAGCTTCAGCGGCAACAGTGTCGCCGTGTGTGTGTGTGTGTGTGTGTGTGTGTGTGTGTCGGGGGGAGGGGTCGTGATGTCGTCTTTCTCCCGGTAAGTTCCCGCGCCAGCGCGCCCCGCAGCCCAGCGGGCCTCCCTGAGACGGGCCGGGCCGGGGGCTCTCCCCGGGCTCACCTGAGGAAGGTCGGTCCGAGTAGCGCGTGCAGTAGACCCAGGCCGGCCAGAGCATGGGCTGCGCGCCGAGGTTGGCGCTGGCCTGCGAGCTGTCCGAGTCCGAGCTCAGCGACAGGTCGCCGCCGCCCAAGGCGCGGGCCTTAAGCGCCCCGTCCAGGGGACCTCCGGGGTCGCTGCCTTTCTTGGTGCCACCGTGTAGCGTCAGCGTCTTAGAGCCGCCTTCCCCGTCACCCGGAGAGTCGCCGCCTCCGGCGAGTAGCTGCCCGCCGCCGAGCCCGGGAGCCCCCAGAACCCGGCGATGCCCCAGACCGCGTCCCCTGCGCTCGCTCGCGCTTTCCCCGTCGCTTCTCGGTTCAGGGATCTGAGGACTCTCGCGGCAGCCCCAGCGGGTCACCCCGATGTGCGTATGTGGACACGCACGGGGAGACTGCTATTTTTAACATTTCCATATTGTTTACCGTGGGGAGAAATCCCACAATTCCTTGCACAAAGTGCATAAATAATATTAAATGAGCTGCCGAGATACAAAGGGACTCCTGTGGTCCGCTATACTTGCTGGCGGAGAGGAAAACTGTCACTTACATTTGACTTTGGTCACCCCGCAGCTTCCTGGCTTAGACGCGGAGCTGGCGCGCAGGACGCTCCTGCAGACACTCGCTGCAAGTGTGCGCGCGTGTGCGTGTGCGGGGAGGCGCGTGCACGCGGGGTTCCACCCGCGGACACGGGTCCTCAGGGAACGCGCACACGCACAGATCCGGGACAGCGTGGGAGCGCGGTCCCGGGCTCCGTTTGCGGGAGGAGAAGTAAAGGAGCACAGGGCTTATAACTAAACCTCCTTTGGAAAGGAGAGGGGGCCTGACCGTTCAGCCAAACCCTCCAACCACCCGGAGACAAAACGCTCCGAAGGCAGCTGCCGCCCCCAGCTGGGGCCGGACCATCCGACCCCCGCCCCGACGTCTCTACCCGGATTGAAGAGCTTCCAGGCCATTCACCTCGTTTTCTTTGTCTTAAAATCCTTTAAACTAGTTTCGCAGGAGAGCAGGGCCAATTTGAAAGGGGAATTAGGACTCGCATGGCAGGGTGGGGGCCCCAATTTGTTTCCCCTTCTCTCTTTTCTTTATCTTTCTCAACTTCCTTTCCAGCTGCTGTCAGAATGTCCAACTCGAGCTTCGTTTCCTCTTCTCTCCCCCCCCCCCCCCCACCCCCCCCCCCTCCCCCTCTTTCCCCCCCCCCCCCCCCCCCGACTCCCTCCTGTTTGCTTTTCTCTCCCCTGCGAACATCCTCCTTACCCCAGGCTCGCCTGTCCATCATTTAAGATGCATTTTAATGGAAATTTGTGAACTTCTAGAAACATCCAAAAGAGCAGCTCTGAGGGTGCAGGAGCATTGGCACAATATAAGTATCCTCGATGGGGGAGGAGGGGGGAGGGAGACCAAAGCCCGCGCATAGCCCTGATCGACCATGGGCAGCTGCAGGGTGCCCAGCAGCCAAGGCCCACCACGGAGCAGAGTTCTGGGCCTAGGGCAGCCAGCAGGAAGCTGTCAGGCTCACGTCCCCAGGCAGTGTGACCTACCAGGCCACCTCGAGGCTTGCACGTTGTGCCCAGCCTTGCTCAGCTCTCCTCACGTCCATACCTAGGTCCTGTCCTGGCTCTGCACCAGCACTGTTCACCCACAGCAGGCTCCAGAGTGCTGGGTGGGTGGGTCACGAAGCAACAGTTGCCAATGTGCTGCTCCCAGGAAATTAACCCCCGGACAGGGAGAGTGGGCAGTGGTTGGAGAAGGCACTGGGCTGGGTCTCCTAGCAGCTAAAGGTGGTGGAGGTGGGCAGGTGGCCTGGGTGTACAGGCAGATAGGGAGTGTCATCCATCTTCTGTGCATCTGCAGCAGGGTGGGGATGACATTTCTCACTTGAGGTGACTCCCATCTCTCTTTCTGCCTCCTTCCTCGTGCCCCATTAGAGGGGTCCTCACCAAATTTTCTGGCTAGGCACATACCTGCTAGGGGTCCTCCCTGGCTCTCAAAAATGAAACTCCACAGTCCACTTGCCCCTAGGAAAATGGGGCTGGTGAGGGTTTGTGGGAAATGGGGCTTACGGAGGTTTTTTTTTTTTTTTTTTTTTTTTTTGGAGAAAATTTCCTGCAGTTCTCAGAACTCTAATCATCACCAGTCAGAAAATGGATAGTTCAATTTCTTCAGGTCTCCTGACATGGAGTGGGTGGAAGGAGAACCCAGAGCAGTTTTGCTTCCTGCAAAGCCATCCCAGGCTAACTTCCACACCCGTCCCATGAAAACCAAACAGCCCATCTCCTGAGGAGTGTTTTCTGATTTCTTGGAAACCTCTGCCTCTGGTCGCCTTTGCATTACCCGAGCCCATGGTGTGGGACTTCAGAGGCGCTCTTTCCTGCGTCCGAGACCCAAATTCATGGCTGCAACATAAACCTTGCAAGGCAGCCCTGACTCCAGGCAAGCCTCGCCTGTTTGTGGACGGTCACCTGACCCGTGTCTCCAGGCTGCAGGGTCAGGTGGGTTTGGGGAGGAAGGGGAATTCGTGGGTTGCCGCCTGGAAGATGGAGAGAGAAGGTGGAGTGAGGAAGGAAATATTTAGAGCAGGGTCTCAGGCCACCCAAAGTGGGCCAAACATGAAAATAGCTCCGGGAAAGAGCTGAGAGTGGACACCATTCAAAGGGCCAGGGAGGAGGTGGGCAGACGAGGGGAGGCTGCAGAACGTTGGTTTGCCCGGGGGCTCGGGGTACTCTAAGTCTTATAGGCAAAGAAATCACCACAAGCTGTTGCAGGAAGCTTCTAAAACGTGCTTGGGGCCCAGTCCTGCGCCCTCTGGGACTTCGCCCTGGCTGTGACTTCTGGGGATGCTCGGGAGTCAGCCTCGGCAAGACTCTTCCCGGACGCGGGGACGCTAGGGCGGAGATGCCAGCCCCGGCCGCCGCTCGCCCCGCGGCCCTGCGCCCCGCCAGCCGCCGCGCTCCTCGGCTCGCTGGACCCCAGCGGCTTCCCCGCGCGCGATCAGACGAACCGGCACCGGACATTTGTTTCTCCTCGGACGTAAAGCGAGGCTCGGGCCCGGGAACCCCGTTTCCCTTCTACTTTCACCCGGGACCAGCAGAGCTCTCGCGAACCACCCGCTTCCAGAGAACCACCCTCCGTATTTCCGAGGCTGGTTGCCCGAGGAGGGGCCTCGGACAGCGTAGAGAGGGGCGCAGGCTTCCAGGCGCCGGGGACTGCGCACCGAATCGGCGCCGCGCTCCCGGAGACGCCGGTGCCCGGTGCCCGTGAAGCCTCCCGCGCTTGCTCCATCGAGGCCGCAGCAGAGGGACTTTCCTGGCCGCTCTGCCGTCCCCTCACGCCCTCCCTTCTCCAGACTGACGTGGGCACGCTCGGAGATAACGAAGGCAGTGGGAGCGCCGTTCGCTCGCGGGGATCTCGCCACTCGGCGGGCAGAGACGCCACGCACTTCGGGGAAGCAAAATCTCCACCCCAGCAAAATCTGGCCGGGCCGGCCCCGCGGCCCTGGACAGGAGCCGAGCCCCCACGACCGGGATTTGGGAGCCTCCCGCCTGGCAGAGAGCCTCCCTCGGCTTCTGGCGCTGCCGCCCCCGGCTCCTGGCGCTGCCGCCCCGACCCTGGCCTGCAGACAAAGGCCGAAATGAAAGAGCGCGGGGAGCAGGGGGCAGTGCGCACCGAGGTCGCGTGTCTGTGCTCACCTCCGAGCGAAAGAAGACGGGCCCACGGCCCGAGGGGGCGAACTCGGGGGCTGGGCTCGGGGAGGCTGGGGGCTGCGGTCAGGGACCGTGTCTAAATAACCCCAGGAAGGAAGGGGTTAAACTCAACAGTCGGGCCTGGAAGCGTCGTGGGGGCCGGGGGCTCACACAGCCTCACGGGCCAGGCCCTTGGCCTCGCCCTGCCCCAGTTCCGCCGGGGGCGCAGCGTCCGGAGCTGGGTGGGTGGGTCGTCGCCGGCGGATGGGAACCCCGGGGAGGGTGGCCGGGCATCGCGGCGCAAGTGCCTGTGCTCAGCTAAAGCCCCCTGGGGGCTGGGGAGCAGAGTGGGTGAGGTACCCACTGGGGACCGCCTTGCTGCTCCAGCCACGGGGAGAGGACCTGCTCTTGGCGCTTAGCCCCCCAGTACCTGCCTGAGAGAGGTGGGAAGACGGGGGTAAGTGGGCAGATAGCCAGAGCTGCAGACCAAAGATGCAGAAACCGTCCCCAGCGTGGCTTCTTATGGAAACAGAGCTTCTGAAGGACAATCCGAAGGGCCGCTTTACTTGTGGAAACCCCACAGCCAAACTGAGTCCTCCGTGGCCCCACCGCCCTCCCTCCCTGGGCGTTTCTCCAGGGCCGGACGACTCTTGCTTGGGATGACCTTGCCTCTGCTGTCCCCTTCCCGCTCTCTCACCCTGTTTTACTGCTGTTCCTGGTGCCGGTGAATTTGAACCCCTGTGCAAGTTGGGCTCACTCCCACTGTACGTGGGCGACAGCGTCTTCACTAAACAGTTGCAGGCTCTCGGGTGTGGCGTTGGGGTCTGGTTGGCTGGCATCTTTCCAGAGCAACCGTGAGGGTCATGATCGGGAGCGCAGACCTGTTGGTGACCTAAGGCCTCCACGCTAATGAATATGCCCTCTCGTACTGCAGCCATTCCGAAGAAAGTGGCACATTCCAAATAATCTAGATTCGAATAAGTAAAATTAGTTTGATAAAGGACTTCGAAGGGTGGCATCTATGGCTCCAGCTGGCTAAGCACACCAAAACGAGAAGGAAAAAACACATTCGAGGATAATGAGCTCTGAAAAACATTAGCCACCCTCTCCATCTTAGAATCATTTACAGATGGAAGAGACGCTGGTGTCTAGCCACTGTCTTCCTATCAACCTTTGCAGAGAAAACAAGATGTTCAACAGGAACTCTGGAAATACACACTTCACCTCACAGAGCAGAGCACTCTTTTCTTCTCCTTTCTCCCCTAAAGGCTACGGGTAATTGCAGAGAGGCTCGTGTAGCATAAACTCACATATGCTAACTTTCCACCATTTTCTGAAGTATGATTAGGGTGGCTAGAGAGTTCCAGAATTTTAGGCAAGTACAGATCTAACTCAAACCACCCAGATCCAGCCCAGCCAAGTTACCTACAGCTAGTGACATGATCACTCATTAGTCTAGGCTGAATGTAAGGAAGAAAATATCTAAACAACCCCCCCACCCCCAAATACCAACAACCGCATAGCTTAACTGGGGGGAGCCCATATAGAGTTATATATTGGTTTTGTTGGGGAGATAGATTTTTTTTAAAATGTACTTTTAAGTTAAAGCAATGGAGTTGATTTTTATCTTTATCAAATAGAAATATATAAAGATATATAGTTTTATACAAAAGGGTGACAAAAATGTGAATTAAATCCACACATTTCCTAGACTTGATTCCATAATTGAACAATTCCTTTGAGTTTAACAAAGTTGGCCATTTCTTTAGCGTGACTATAATGGACACACATATTTATATGTGTAGTATGGGGAGGGGATCCCCGTACACGGTCATTTTCTGCGTTAAGTATTGAAACACACTCGTGTGAAGCGAGGTGACCTTTTACAAGCACAAAGGCTCAGTAATGACCTTCGTGGACTCACACTCAGACGGGCAGTGGTGTCACACCCATAATGTTTACCAAGGCCCAAACTACCCTGCCCTGAGCAGCCGTCCTGTCCCAGTCCTGTTAGGGATGGGCACCCAGTGTCGGTACCTCAGGCAGTGCATCCTTCCTTTTCCTTGAATCCCAGCACTTCTGACTCCATTTAAAGAAAAGCCAGGCAAAGCAATATTTTAAAGCTAAAACACACTATAGAAATGCTCTCTCTTCTCCAAAAAAATGCCTCTTCCCTTTCCCCAATCTCTCTAAAAACTATGCCAGTCGTGTTGTATTTAATGTTAAGGAATTTCAGGGTTTGTGTGTCTGACATCAGTTAATCCCCTAAGACACAACAGCCTCTGTGCTGACGCAAAGTTCAGGACCTCTGCACCGTTTAGAGTATTAACAGAGGCCAGGAGAAAGAAATGGGATATGCGCGAGGATTTCCCACGTATGTAGCTAATGCCCTTAAATTCCTGGGGATTTACACTTGCCCATCTATCGGGAGCGAGAAATGCGAGCTCTTCTAATTAACTGCCTGGTTTTAGTTCTCAGTTCACACTGCCAGGACGAACTGCGGCGGCCGCGCAGCCTCTGCGTTCCAGATGTTGGGGGCCGCGCCTGGGGGAGGGGGCACTCTGAGCGCCACCGAGGCGCGGCAGGCGCGCTCCCAGGGCAAAGCGCGGGTTCCCCAAACAGACGACACACATTGGGCGACACTTAAGGGTTTCTGTCGTGTTTGCAGAGACAAGTTCAGCTGCATTCAGTGCAAAGCAGCCCTGAAAGCTCAGGGTTGAAAACAGAACGTGGAACCGAGGCTCGTTCGGTTGGGAATCTCTCTCTGGGGCCATTCTCCGCAGTGGGCGGCCAGGACGGATCTCTAACCGAGATTCCTAAAGAGGCGAGCGTCCGCTAGGGTCCGGAGCTGGGCTGCGTGCAGGCTTGGAGCCCTTCTGCCCTGGCGAGAATCTTTCCACAGTGGAAACAACTCCTG